ACCTCCAACTCCTGGGCTCAAGCGAGTCTCCTGCCTCCGCCTCCCAAGTAGCTGGGACCACAGGCGCCCACCACAACACCCGGCTATTTTTTGGTTACAGCCGTCATTGTTGTTTGGTGGGTCCAGGCTGGGGATTCAAACCCGCCACCTCAGGTGTACGTGGCTGGCGCCTTAGCCGGTTGAACCACAGGCGCCGAGCCATTTCTCTTTTTCTTAATTGAGCTGACAGCAGTGTATTCAAAGTAACAATAGTAAATATATATTGGACTGTTATAACTAATGGGAAAATAAAATGACTGACAAAAATACACTAAGGAATAAGAAAGAGAGGAATTGAAAATCTTGTTAATATTGTTACAAGGTACCTGCACTACCACCTGCGAAATGGTGTAGTGTCATTTGAAAGTGCACATAGAATAGTTTTAAATGTGTATTGCAAACTCTAGGGCAACTGCTTAAAAAATTTAAAGGAACTACTGTTAACCCTTGAAGAACATGGGGATTAGTGATGCTCACCACCCACACAGTTGAAAAATCCATATATTACTTTTGACTCCCCAAGAATTTCCACTGAGAGGGGGATGTTCTTTCTTAAGTAACTCCATTTCTTCTACAAAATTTGATGTATTTCAGCCTTCTCTCTCTATTGGGGTTAGTTTTAGTAAAATAATTTTTTTTTTCTAAGATCTACTTCTCATTTAAGTTTATTGACAAAGAGTTATACAAAGCTTTTATGATTTCTTACCTTTTCTCTGTTTCAGAGATTATTTTCTCATCATTTTTCATTGTCTATACTTTTCTTCTCATTTCCTACCTTGATTAGGTTAGTGATTTTTCACCCCTTCCTGTTTGATTTTTTCAAAGAGCAGATTTAAAAATATTAATTTTTATAGTGCTTTTCTGATTTTGGGCACCTTCATTTTTGCTTTTATATTGGGCTCAAAGTGATTCTCTTGCCTCAGCTTCCCAAGTAGCTGGGACTACAGGCACTCACCACAACACCCGGCTATTTTTAGAGATGGAGTCTCTCTCTTTCTTGCTCAGGCAAGTCTCAAATTCCTGAGCTCAAGCAATCCACATGCCTCCACCTATCAGAGTGCTATAGGATGACAGGTGTGAGTCACTGCACCCAGACAGATTTTCCATTTTTATGCAACTGAATGTTTAAATGTCCTCAAAACCCTGTTACGTGTATAGGTTTAGGCATGGAAGCAGTGACCTTTCCTCTGGTTATGGCTTAGACTACACCCCACGGATTCAGAGTGGGAGAGGTCTAACTGCCAGCTTCTGAAGAGGCTCAGTTTGGTCCATATGTCTCCTTTCCTGTGAGCTCAGGAAGGATGGATGGGCCCTCCATCCTGCATGCGAGAGGAAACACATAGCAACCCCATGTGGAAAGACTATCGCAAGAATTCTGAGAGGCTTACTTTGTCAATATTTAATGATCTGGCCAAATCTTAGCTGTATTCAGCCTATGCTCGTGGCTTTCCTCTGCCCTCTCAGAAGCTCGGCCCCTCTTGGACTCAGCATACGACCTGGGCAGGTGGCCCCCACCTGGCTCCAGAGAGGAAGTCTGTGGCAGGTATGTGCAGGTCTGTGGGGGACAAAAGCTGGGAAGGAATAGGGCATGTCCCCCTGAAGATGCTGGGAGGAGGTGTCCAGGCCCTAGAACACTGACAGGCCAGCCAGCATGACCACAAAGAGAGTGAGGGTAGCCCCCAGAGCTGGGGACAGGGAGGGTATGAGCTGATCAGGAAGGGGTATGATTTTTATGTTGTCATTTATCCATTTGGAAAAATAGGAAACTCGCGCATACACTCCAGGAAACATAGGGTGGGAGCAACCACGGCCCCAGCTCACGATTCCAATCTGCAACCAGATGCGGTTGAATTCACAGACCAGCGGGCCCCCAGAGTCACCCTGGAAAGGAAGGGGGGTCTTTTGTGACCTGGGGAGTCTGGACTCTGCAGGGTAGGTCCAGTGCTCCCCGCCCCCACTCACACAGCCAAGAAGGGCTATAATATGGCCCAGAGCCACAGGGCAAAGCCTGCTGCAGGTGTGCAGCAGGTGTGTGGCAGGCATGCAGATATGTGGCAGGTGTGCAGGTGTGGGACAGCAAGTGTGGTAGATGTGCAGGATTCATGCCTTCTCTGGCAGCAGCATAGGCTCAGCAGCTGCAGGGCTCCTGCCCATAGCCTGAACTAGCGTCTATGCCAGGCACCCCTTGGCCTCTTTCACTTTGGTGGGGCACACCTCACACACAGTCTTTGTGTTCTTCATGTCCCCGGCGCATATCATGTCCCACAGGATGTAGAATGGGCCTCCATAGAGACGTTTGCACAAGACCACAGGAACTAGAGGGACCTTGACCTCTTGCAGCTCATCTGAGGTAGCACCTGCATAGAGAGGGGTCCATATGAGGGTTGTTCTCCACAAGCAGAGGAAGATCTCCTCCAGTGGACAGCACGGGCACCCACAGAATTCCCAATAACCCAGGGGAAAAGTCTCACTCACACCTAGAGGAATCCCACCACACAGACCACACAGGAGGAACAGCCCAGAGCACACAGAGGGAGGAGCCTAGACCTTACATGAGATGGGGTCCTGACCACACACAGGGAAGAGCCCAGGCTGGGGTACTAGGCTTGTGACACTGAGGGTGAGACAACTAGGATGCCTAGAGGAGTTTGGAGCAGTATGGGGTCCCACCCCCCTTGCAGCAAGGCCTGAGCTACATGGATGAGGTCTCCTTTGCTGCTCTTCCTTTCTCTGAGAAACACTTCAGGTAGTCAGGGTCCACAGACAAGCCCCCTCAGTGGTGTAGGGGTGAGGCCAGCTGCATCCTGGAGGCACACAACAGCAAAGCTTGCTTTGCTTCTCCCAGATGAAGCACAAATCTCCAACTACTGGGGAAAGGCAACAAATACTGCTATCCCCAGGACCTGGTGATGGTCCACTATCTCTGAAGGAGGGGTAAAAACAAAGCCCTATATCCCTGGGGAAGCCTCTTGAGCCCACATCAGTAAAAAACACAGAGTGAAGGCAGAGTGGATGGGCAGGTGGAAAAGTTGGAATTCTCTTAAGAGTCACCACAGGTATGAGCCATTTTTATCTGTAGGCTCAGCAAGAATGTGCCAGGTACACAGAGAATGCTGAAAGCAAAGGACAAAGCAGGACACAGGGAAACTCCAGGCCTCACACTAAGTCCACAATAACAGCAGCTTACCCCTAGAGGAATCTGAAGCCTGTGGTGCACTAAAGGTGGTGGCACCAACAGTAAAATCAAAACCCAGCTCAAGAACTCACTAGACTGACTCAACTACACTCTAATCCCATTAATGGCTTGAAAGAAGAAGAGGAATGTCTGGTTTGTGGTGCAGAGATCTGTGTCTTAACTATTCTTTTATGATGCCTGGCATTCAACCAAAAAATATGACACACACACACACACACACACACAAATGGGTGAGAAACCAAAACCGAACACTAGACTCACTGTCAAGAGATAAAATAATGTACAGAATCAGACACCCAGATGACTCGGATGTTGAAAATAACCATGACTGACACGTTAAACTACTTATTGGAAAGTGAACAACATGAATGAGAAAATGAAGAATTTAAGTAGAAATATGCAAACTCACAAGAAAATAGTCAGTTGGAAATGCTAGAAATAAAAACATAACATCAAAGAAGGAAAATTCCTTTGATGAGGTTATTAGTACACTGGGCATAGATGAGGAAAAAAGTCAGTGAACCTGGAGAGAAGTCAATAGAAATTATCCAAACTGAAACACAAAGAGAAAAAGAGTGGCACAGAAAGGATGGGGAGGACCAGAAGAGAGCATTCAAGATTGTGAAACAAAAGCAAACAACCTAACATATGTGGAGTTAGTCCCAGAAGAAGAGAGAGTATAAGACACAATAAATATGTGATGATATAACGGCCAAGAAATTTCCAAAATTAAAGACCACAAACCACAGTCTCAAGAGGTTCAGAGAAACACCAGAATAAAGCAAACACCTAAAAACATCACAGCTAAATGGCTGAAAAACGGAGTTGAGGAGGAATCTTGAAGGCAGCCACAGAGGTGCTAAATATTGCTTACAGAGGACCAACGGTAAAAGTTACGATACATTTGTCATCAAAAAACTAGGCAGCCCAGAAGAAAATGGAACAATCTTTTGCAAAACAAAATCAGAAAACTGTCAACCCAGAATTCTATATCTAGTGAAATTATCTTTCAAAAGTAAAGATGGAATAAAAACTACTCCTTAAAAAAAAAAAAAAACTACTTCTGATAGACAAACCTATAACTCTTATTCATTGCTTAAGAAACTATAATATGGCTTGGCGCCTATAGCTCAACCGGCTAAGGCACCAGCCACGTACACCTAAGGTGGCGGGTTTGAATCCCCAGCCTGGACCTGCCAAACAACAATGACGG